GACGGAGAGTCGAGAGACGCCGGTTCGAAGCAGGAAGCGGACGCTCAGAGAGGTCGAGGAGACTCCGGACGAGGGGCAGAAGAGCAACGCCTTTGGGAAGCGAAAGAGGAGCAAAAGAGGGATCAAGCGGAGCACGGAGGAAGGCAGCATCAACCTGTCGTGCGCGTGGAGCAAGCTCTCGTACGCCGCATCCAGGGCCAAGAAACTCTCCGAAGTCCGCGGCAGCATGCGTCTGGCGTGTAGGGAGCTCGCTTGCGTGGACGGGCTGTGGCTGTACTACTTCACTCAGATGATCACGACGGAGATGAAGCAGGCCGGGAAGGAGGACAACGGCGTGACTGTCCTGTCCAAGTATGCCATGATGTACAACCTCAGCGCAAAGACGCTCGACGATGCCCTGAAGATGGTGGGCAACGGGGGATTGAGCAGAGCGGTCATCAGAGGCCTCGCTCGAAGACTCGGTGACTCGGCTTAGGGCGAGGGCGAGACGCTGCCGTGGACACATAAACATGGACCCCACGCCCACCGAGACCCCGGTGGTGAGGAGCCGTTTCGGACGCGTGATCAAAGCTCCGGAGAGGTACAGCCCCGAGCTCTCTTCCGGCGAGGAATTCGAGGACGACTACTCGGACGACTCTGGTTCGGACGCCGAGAGCACGGCTACGACCGAGACGCCCGAAAACGATTCGGACGATGATCCGGACTACGTGGAAGGAATGGAGACGGAGGGGGGCGAGGAGGAAGTGATTTCGGACGCCGAGGATGAGGAGGAGGATTCGGACGCGGCGTCCGAAACGGACGGAGACGAGGATACTTAAGGGGCGAGGAGACTGGCTCCAGTCGTCAGAAAAAGATGGGCGAGATTGTCGATATCAGCACAAAGAGTCTTTTGGAGCTGTTGGAGCCACCGGCTCCGTCTGTAGAGGAGACAGGAGAGGTGTTGGATGCCGCTTCGTCGTTGCTTGATATCAGCTCCACCGATGGCCGCAGACTCTGGCAGATGCTCTTCGAAGAAGAGATGCCAGAAGTCAGACCTCCCGAAGAAGAAAAAAAAGACCACATGGTTAGAAAGATCGAAATAAGGAAGGCGCGCAACAAGCAGCATGCTTACAATCATAGGAGGAGGAACGCAGAGAAGATGAGACGATTGATGTCCGAGAACGAGTCTCTGCGCAGAGAGTTAGAGCTCCTGAGAAAACAATTGGAGTCCGATAAAAAGACGGTGAATGATTGAACGGCTGAATCGAAAAAATCTGCTCAAGTATCAAGTATCTAGCACACTATGCGCATCGGCTTCATCATAACGGACTGTCCTTCTGAAGAGATCGCTGGTGACGAGATGCTGGTGATAGACCGCAATCGTCCTTGGCTAAAGGACGCTCCGCGACAATATGTGCATACATACAAGAAAAAGCCGGCCGTAACGTACGATGTCTCCGTGGCTCTTTACGTTAAGAAAGCTTACCCCGACGTGCACGTTGACATGATAATGCCCGATGATGCTTCGCTTGCTAGGCTGCGCAAGAACGACATGTATTTCCTCCTCATCTTCGACATCGTGGACTCGTGGCATTCCAAGACGACCGAGGCCAGGAAGAGTTTCGTGAAGGCCATCACGGAGGCCGATAACGTCTTTCCTAGCGGATACTATCAACGACTCGTGGCACACAAGAATCTATACTACGATTACCTGCGCAAAGCGGGTATACCAGTCGCCGACTTTCTCTATTTCTCGTCGAGCGACTACAAAAAGGGCGGTGCGGAAGGTGTCATTCGGACCCTCCGGCGTCAGATGAAGGCGAAGAAGTGGAAGGACTTCGTGGCGAAGCCCGTGCTCGGACAGGGCTCGGCCGACTTCAAGTTCTTTCCAGCCAGCGTGGAAGACCACAGGCTCGCGGGGTACCTCGAGAAAATCTTCAAGGTGGGATATCCAGGAGTAATCTTCCAGGTCTTTATCGAGGGCTTCGCCGACGACACCCCCGAATTCCGCCAGTTCTACGTCGAGAAAAGGTACATGTACACTATGATTACGGACGAACAGCATGAGGACGAGAGACAGCCGAAGAGCGAAGGCGGTACCTTTCAAGATAACAAGCAATTGAGGGATGCGCGGCGACTGGGCGACGAGGTCATTGCCAAACTGCCGCCGCAATTCACCGTGGGCAAAATCGCGTTACCGCGGCTCCTCACCCGCGTCGATGTGGGCTGTTGCTTGAATGGGAAGATGTTCTGCAGCGAGGTAGAGTACGTGCCCAGCCTCTTCATCAACAGCGTCAAGAAGCTGAAGATAGACGCCGAGCTCGCCGAGCAGGCCGTGGCTATCACGCGCGAATTCCTTCGATTGAAACGGACGCAATGATGGGTCTGTCATACGTTATCGTCTTCACGTGGGAACACCTCATCATCCAGGCCTGGAGAGAGGATCGGAGTTCCATGATCACCGTGAAATCCTCGGGCCCTTCGGCATACCCGATCTTGTCGGAATAACGTCGTGAGTAGTCGGAGACGAACTCGGCGAAGCGTCCCGAACCAGATTCTATCTCTGCACACAGTCTATCTAGTTCCTCATTCCTCACGCAAGTAGGCGGGTACGT